TACAACTGTAGGTTCCTACTGTCCCAAGAGAATGGACTCAACATCCTTCTCAGACTCCTCCTTCTCTCTTAACTCCTCTTCCTGATACACCTGGACCATCATGAACCAATGAACTGGATATGAACCTGTTCAATTTACTCCTAGCTGTTTGCATAAAGGAATCTCCAGAGCATTATAAGACATGCTAAAACTCTCTGGAATTACAAAAGAAATGGTTCAAAGTGATGAAGGACAAGTTAAAATCTATTGAAGAATGCAATGCTTGGACCTTGGTGGATCCTCCAAAAGATTGGAAACCAGTAAATTGTTGATGGGTTTTCACTATAAAAAGCAACAGTCATTATAAAGCCTGTCTAGTGGCTAAAGGTTTTACACAAGAATTCAGAACAGACTTTGAAGACACCTTCTCTCCAGTCACTCATTTCAAGACTGTGAGAACACTCCTTGCCCATGCAGCACAAAAGAACTGGGAAATGGAAGCCCTTGATGTTAAAATGGCATTCCTATATGGAAATCTCAATGAGGAGATATATGTACATGGAACAGCTTGAAGGTTTCAAAGTTTCTGGTCAAGAACACAAGGTTTATCAGTTTCTGTGTGCTCTTTATGGCTTAAAACAAGCAGCATTAGCATGGAACAAAGCCCTACACCCATCACTTCTATGAATGGGCTATATTTGCTCTAAAGTGGACACTGGAATTTATATCTTCAAAACCAAAGCAGATATCATCATCTTCCTTGTTTATGTCAATGATGGACTCTTTTTCAGGTCTAACTTGAAGCTTCTAAAAGCTAAAAAGGTGGAGTTTATGAAGAAATGGGAATCATGGGATCTTGGAGAGGTAAAAGAATATTTGGGAATTCAAATTCACAATAATTGCTCTTCATGCAAATTCTACCTCAACCAAATCCCTTATGTCAAGAAGGTCATAAAATGCTTCAATATGGAGAATGCTTGAAATGTTTGCACTCCACTACCTTCTGGCTATATTCCCAAAAAAGGCCCACAGTCTTATAATGTGACTTCTTCTCTTCATTCCCAATATCAATCAATCATTGGTTCTCTTCTCTATATGGCTCTCAGGACTTGTCCTGATATTGCCTTTGCAGTTATTCACATGAGCCAGTACAGGGCTAATCCTACAGAGGACCATAAAAACAAAGCACTGCACATAGTCCACTATATTGCATCAACTCCTAAGCTTGTGCTTTATTATTCAGGAAACAAAAATTGCATTTATGGCTTTGCCAACTCCAACTGGGCCTCAAATAAAGATACTCACCATTCAACCCAGTTATGCCTTTGTCTTAGGCACATCCCTCATCTCTTGGTGTTCTCACAAACAGAAGACAATTACACTTTCATCTACTGAAGTTGAATATATGGCTATGTGTGATGCTGCATGCCAAATCAAATGGCTCTCTATGCTATTTGATGAACTTGCCTTTAAATATGAAAAGACTATACTATATTGCAACAATATGGGAGCTCACTTCATTGCAGAGAATGCTGTATTGGATGGATGATCGAAACACATCAACATCCAGCAGCACTATGTTCACAAATGCATACAAGATGGATTATTCTCTATTGAATATGTGCCAACAGATTGTTAAAAGTCTGATGGTCTTACAAAGTCACTTACATGGCAAAAGTTCAAAACAAATCACTCATTGATTGGATTGGTAACCCTACCATTCTAGAGTGAGGGGGGAGTATTGGAAGTTTACAAACTTACACACTACCAGTAATCATCACTTACATGTGATTATCTACTTATACCAGCTATTGTCATGTGACCAAGCACATCATCCATGACTCCACTATTTCTATCATGTTCCATGATATTCTTTACTATATGAAGTAGGTACAAACCCCTTATGGTAGTTTTACTGTAGTTGTGCAGACATGGTCCATGCACACTCATGTAGTATATATACAAGCCCACCTGAGGTGCTTAATCCTCAGTGAAATTGACATCTCTTCAATTCCTCTACTTCTCATAACAACTACCACTCTATTCAAGCAAGCTACCCAACTGCTAACAAGGCAAGTGTTCACCTTAGCCTTTCCCCTTGACTAGTCCTCTGTGCAATACAAGTATATGGGGATTTGCAAGGTAGTGAAAAACTAAAGTAAAGGATGCTGTGCTTCTACCTAAATACCTCCCTGAGGAGGGCACACAATAAACCTGTATGTAGTTGATCACTGCAGAAGTAAACATAGCTCAGCAGGAGGGGGAACAAGACCCAAACCAGCAGCACAATCAGGAATGCATGGCAAGGGGGCAGTACAATGATGAAGGTGAAACCTATTCAATATACTATACAAGGGTAAGTGAGGGGAATGAGGCTGGGGAAACAGACAAGGCAACAATCAAGGTGCAGTAATGATGCTGCATGACTCCTCTAGACCAGGCCCCCCCTTCCATGGATGCTGTACAACCCAGACAATGGCAAAGATGATGGTAGCCACCACTGCAGCTCCTTGGAAGCTAAGACATGAAAAGACATAAGTGTCATGTGACCAAAAATGGTAAGGGGCTGGCTCAAGGCATAACAACCTCTCTATACCATCTTTCTGTTGTCTGTTATGTTTTACCCCTGTTTTCTCCTTGCTGTTACTGCATTCCCTTCCATTGGACTTCTTTTCCTTTTCTGGCCATCTTCTCTCTGATCTGATGGCCTCTTATATCCACCACTAGTGTTAGTATCTCATGCCTTGCTTAGGACATGTGATGTTATTGTTCAACCAATAGTGTAGTTGACTCATTACATGCAGACACCTCATGGTCCATTTCTTTGTAGTATTTAGCCTGTCAACTCAAGTCCTGGAACCCCAGACTTGAGCTGCTCAATCATATGCAGCATTCCTCAGAACTTCACCCTCAGTGTCCCTAACCTGGACCACTCTTACCAGCATTGCCCAAATCCTATGTTATTTACAGAGGTTACTGCAGCCATTGCTCGGTAGAAGCCAAATCCTCTGTCATTTACAGAGGTTACCTCAGCTGTTTGCTAGGTAGAAACCATTAATCTGCAGCTGAGCTCAACCTACATCTCAACTTCAGTCAAGTGAAAAATTGTCCAACCTTCCACTGAGTATCCATTGCATAGATGTGTTACAACTTTGCTAGACTTTGCTTCAGTCTTGCAGTAGATACATGGAATGCAGCCCAGGAGGATTTCGCATTTTTGGCATTTCATGCAGCTATATTATGGTATAATTACAATCAGAGTGTTCAGTGCTTCAGCCACATACTATCTCTACAATATCATGTACATTGGAGTGCTGTGTGTTGTAGTATTGCAGATTTTTATAATGTTTTCAAAAGTCTCCTAAAATCTTCAGTCACTTTCCCACACTCTTCAGAACTCATTTTCTTCCCTGCTCTTCCATTCCTTAATGGATTGACTTGGAATTCTGGATATTAATAGACCTACTTGCAAAGAACCATTCCAAAGTATTACATCATAAGTTATCCATACAGGAGTCCCATAGTGGCCACATCAGAAAAAAACAAAAAATGCCATCTGGTACCTCATCCTTCAACTAAACTACACAAGCCATTCTAATTATACATTGTACTGTGCACCTTCCATAGTCCCAATGCATCCTTGGCACCTCATGTCACAGTAAAGCTGGTACATCATCTGGAAGGGGAATTTCTTGTTCTGGGATTTGTGGAGGTAGTTGTTGATGCAGAGCTTCCACTTGTCAGTACATGCTGATAAGTTGAAGAACTTCTTCTAGTCATTGATGCTCTTCTTGTAGAGCACAGATATGAGCAGGGAGCCAATTTTGATAGATTTGGTACCACATCAGAAGACCCCATGCTATTGACTAGTAGAGGGTAGAGGCAAGGAATGCAGAATGGAAGTTGGTAACAATACTGAACCACACAAAATAAACCACCTGATAGAACCCACAAAGAAGCAAGACAATAAAGGTGGCAGCAGCCCAACTGAGTGCTTCTAGGCCATCCAAAGGCATACTGATGTAGTTGTCACCAGTGATCAAGTTATGTCCTTTGGACAAAGCAACCAACTAGAAGCCAGGGATCATAACCTATTGTGCAGAGGACTAATCACAGGGAAAGGCTAAGGTGAACACTTGCCTTGTTAGCAGTTGGGTAGCTTGCTTGAATAGAGTGGTAGTTGTTATGAGAAGTAGAGGAATCAAAGAGATGTCAATTTCACTGAGGATTAAGCACCTCAGGTGGGCTTGTATATATACTACATGAGTGTGCATGGACCATGTTTGCACAACTACAGTAAAACCACCATAAGGGGTTTGTACCTACTTCATATAGTAAAGAATATCATGGAACATAATAGAAATAGTGGAGTCATGGATGACATGCTTGGTCACATGACAATAGCTGGTATAAGCAGATAGTCACATGTAAGTGATGATTACTGGTAGTGTGTAAGTTCATAAACTTCCAACAACTTGCTCTCTTCTTCCCTCCTCAGTGACAGGCTAGTCTTCCCTCCCACAGGAGTCTGTAAAATCCAGTATTGCTTGAGGATCCATAGGGGTTATGACAAGTTTGGCCCATAGTGTGTCCCTCTGTGCTTTGTGCCTAGTCCATTTGACAAAGTCACCACATTGGAGCATAACAGAGGTGTGAAATGACAGTGGCAGTCCAACCATACACATATATTGATCATTTCATCACAGTATGTTGTAGTATTGCAGATTTTTATAATGTTTTCAAAAGTCTCCTAAAATCTTCAGTCACTCTCCCACACTCTTCAGAATTCATTTTCTTCCCTGCTCTTCCATTCCTTAATGGATTGACTTGGAATTCTGGATATTGGTAGACCTACTTGCAAAGAACCATTCTAAGGTATTACATCACAAGTTATCCATACAGGAGTCCCATGGTGGCCATATCAGGATAAAAAAAGCAGTCTGATACCTCATCCTTCAACTAAACTACCCAAGCCCTTCTAATTATACATTGTACTGTATACCTTCCATAGTCCCAATGCATTATAAAAATATAGAAGATTGATTTAATCTACCTGGTGTAGCATCAATTTTAACACCTAATGAAGGCACAGCAAATGAATGAATTACATCTGCACCTGTAATACTTAATCTAATATGGCAATCTACTGGAATGATCATTTTATTATCAACATCTAATAATCTAAGTTGTCCTAATTCTAAATCAGATTCAGGTATCCCAGAATTGACAAGGATACCAGCCTGCACCCCATACAGTGTTGAGGAGGAGAACCAATTATCTATATCTCTGCAAAGGCTGGTGCTGATGCCTTGGGTTTTTGATATGTTGTAGATGTATGTTAAGGCTGCCCAGAGACACAATACCCATGTTCATACATCAAGAATTGCAAAAATGCGAACAGAGTTCGCATTTTACCCCTATTTATTTTAGCATCCTTCCAGGGCACTTAACTGGATCGAAATTGCATGTGTATCTAGTAAATAACATACAAACTATTCCATTGGAACTCACTTCACAAGGCAGGGAGTGTGTGTGGTGAAGCAGAAAAGGCCAGGGGAGAGCAAGGTATCTGGTCCGCTTTTTTGATTACATAATCACAGAGAAGTGCAGGTCAGATCTGAGATCTCAGGGCTCATGGATCTCAGATTCATTAACAATGACACTTTTTGATTACATAATCAGTCAGAAGCACAGGTTACTATGTTAATATGATAAATATATATCTTCAGAGGTTGCTGAGAGACTCTTGAGATGGTTGGGTGAGGGTCTTGAGAGGCTCCCAAGATGGTTGAGTCACTATGTCTGTAACAAGTTGCCACATGTTGATTATTTAATCACTCAGAGGCCATGGGATGCCATATTGGAATGACAAATGTGTATCTATGGAGGTTGGTGAGAGTGTCTTGAGATGGTTGAGTGAGGGTCAACAGAGGGATCATCAGTAACACTGTCCATCAGAAGCACAGGAAATAGGGGTGAATTACCCTATTTTACTTATGTTGCAGAAGACATATCCAAATTTGGCAGGGGAGGGGTGGATCACTTCAAGAAGGATAACCATAATTAGAAACATCTGGGAGCCACTGCTGGAGGTTGGGTCTGTTAGATGCATTATTGCTGTCATAAAATTTATATCTAACAGACCACCATCCCTCCAAAAGACTGCTGCCAAGGGTGCACTACTGCCAGGAAGAAGCCATCATCCTCAACAGCTGCACATGCAGTGTTCAAAGCATTGTCATCCTTGGTACTGCCAATGACACTAGTCCTTTGTGATTTTTGGACTGTAAAATGACCACTTGATGATGATGTCAGCACCAAACACACACATCACTCACATACATTCTTGGGGAGAGTTTGAAATCCAAGCTCCATTGTCTATTAGTTATGCTCTAAGTAGATGTGAAAAATTTGCTGGTGTCTATCATGCCAATGAAATAATCTTCAGACCAAGGATTCACAACACAGCTGTCCATGACAAGTAGAGGACCAAACATACTGCCCAGTTTGACAACTTCAGGAGGTCAGGGAAGACACCAGTACTCAACACTGAGGATCAGATTACTTAGTAAACCCATTGTGGAGACATGATTTTTCTCCTTACTCTGTGAGGTCCCTGTTGCTGTTTGCTCATGGGGAGACAGGTAGACCATTCATACACTGGAAGTGTCAAAGTATCAATGTGGTCACTGCCTGATGGAAGGAAAACTACAAAAATGAATCAAGCTGTCAATGTGGCTCAAAATCAGAACATTGATAAAACTTATGTGATTGCTGGCTGGAACCAGTCATAGATTCAGGTACTATATCCTGGACTGAGGGGAAAGGACCAGGTTCTTGATCACAGTCATCTGAAATCAACAAAACATTGTCTGATGAGACTTGTCTGAGTCACTTGCACTTTCACTGCTCTGAAGGCATAAAGTTTAAATCAATCAACAGCTATGGTAACAGGACATACCAACACATACACTGCACATCCACTTTCCTGTTGCAAAGCTTTCTGCTTCACTATCCACAACTTCCTCAGATGGAGGCTCATAGTCAGGATCCCAGAATGAAAATTATAGCTCAGCAACAACCATTCAAAGGGCTGCAATAGTGAGAGTGAGTGTGGTTTAGATGAGGAACAGGGCAACATACTGATAATCACATTTGTTTCTGCCATTGGACACTTTGGCCATCCTTGATAGAAATATAGCTGCTTACCTGAAGGCTTGTGCCCCTGCACTACCTCATATTGTTGTTTTTGTTTATTGATGAGAACCCAGTGGTGCTTTTGAATCTGCACCTTTACCCTTGTCAATTCTAGCTGCATATGCAAACAGCCTCAGAAAAATCCTGTGGAAGAAATCATCAACTTCTTTGGGTGTCCAGTCCTGTTACATTTTGTCCCTGTTTTTCCACTTACCATTGTTTTGTTTTGTTCCATTGGACTTATTTCCTTTTCCAGCTGTCTTCCTGTTTTTCTAATGGCCTTCTACCTCTACCACTAGCAGTAGTCTCTTATGCCTTGTTCTGGACATGCAGCATTATTGCTTCAACCAATAGCATAGTTACCTTGTTACATGCAGATGCCTCATGGTCCATCTCTGTGTAGTATTTAGCCTGCCAGCTCAAGTCCTGGAAACCCAGACTTGAGCTGCTCAATCATATGCAGCATTCCTCAGATCTTTGCCCTCAGTGTCCCTAACCAGGACCACTCTTACTAGCATTGACAAATCCCTTGTCATTTACAAGGGTTACTGTAGCTGTTTGCTCAGTAGAAACCATTAGTCTGTGACTGAGCTCAATCTATGCCACAACTTTGGTCTAGGCATAACAAAAGTTCAAGTCTCACCAGCCTCTTGGCCAAAGGTCACTGTTTAGTGAACCACCACAAACCCCTGAAACAACTGACATTGGGTGCCATTGTGACCCACATATGAAGACTCTTCATCTGAAGATGAACAGGAGAGCACTGTTACTGACACCTCCTCCAATGAACCAGAACAACCAGATAGAGGCTTTACCTCTGGTATCCTCTCAAACCTCTTCACCCAGTCCCTCTCTTCTCTTGGTACTCCTATCCCACCTGTACCAACCTGACTCCCTTGCTCCCACCCCCACCACCAAATACAATGTCCAGTTCATCATCAAAGGCAATGACTGGCTCTGCCATCAAAGCCACTGAATTAAAGATTGTCTCCCCATCCAATTTTGACAGAGACCAAAAGAATGCCATGAGCTGGCTGTTTTCAGTCCAGACCTACCTCATGGTCAATGAAGAAGTGTACAATACAGACACCAAAAAGGTTGTCTTCACCCTGTAATACATGAAGAAAGGGGTTGCTTGCTCTTGTGCAGCAACCTTCCAGAAGGTCTCTTTGGAAAAGAACCCTCCCAGCTTTGGCTCCTTTGCCAAATTCACCAAGGCCTTTAAGCATCATTTACCTCCTCTGACTCTGCCAGTGTTGCCATTGCTAAACTTGTGCACCTTGAAACAAAAGGATTCCATAGAACAATATATCACAGATTTCCAAACTGCAACTGCTGATTCCACCATCACTGAAGATGTAGCCTTGATCAAGTTCTTTTCTCAAGGCCCTTAAACCATTCATTGCAAATCACATCTACATGATGGAAATGACCCCTATCAAAATTGACAATTGGTACCAACAGGCACAGAAGTTCAATGCCAAATGGAAGAAGGTGAACAAACTTCTGGAAAGAAAGAAAAGAGGTTCTACCCCAAGAAAAACCTCTCCAAAGAAAAAGATCCAAATGCTATGGACATGGATGGAGTGAGACTCTCCAAAGAAGAAAGAGACCATCACATCAAAGAAGGAAGATGTTTCAGTTGTGGAAACAAGGGACATCTCTCTCAAGAATGTCCTGACAAAGGAAAGACCCCACAGAAAAGGGTCAAGAAAATCAAGAAAATTGTTGAGGTTGAAGAAAGTGACAAAGAAGGGGTCACTGGACTCTCAATAGCTCTGGTAAACATCACCAGGCTCTTAGGAAAGGATTTTTAAGTGGGAACTCTGAGTTGATGCCAGATGTTCCCAACATCAAGGACAGTTTCATTTCTGTTGTGCCTGTACTAGTATCATCTACTCTGAAATGTACTATGCAGATTCCCATCTCCCTCTATGTAATAGAAAAAACTAAGAAAGTTGTCAACACCACCACACTAGTTGTCTTGGGTGCCAAGATCTCCTGTATTGATTGGGGTTTCATGCAAAAGCACAAAATCCCCACTCAGAGACTCACTCAACCCATCATTGCTAAAAATGCAGATGGATCCACAAACTTGAAAGGAAGAATTGTGTTCTCTACCATACTTTTCTTCAAGATAAAAAACATCACTGATCAGTCCTTCTTCCATGTAATGGACTGTGGAGCAGTGAATGTGAAAATTATCAATGAAAAAAACTTATGATAATGACCTCCTGAGCACATTTGACACAGAAGGGGAATGAAAATATCTTCAATAGTGTGATTGGAGGCATGCTGGAGAGGGGATAGAGTGCAAAGAGTTGAGTTAACAATATCGAAGTCACTATAACAATGGTGGGAAGAAAGTGACAACAATTGCAGCAAGGTACACACTTGTTGACACCAGGTTGAATGGCTCAACTATGGCCATCTCATCAGTTAAGAAAGACAATATGCTCGTCAGTTAGGGTGAGACAAAGGGCAAAGGTCATTCAGTCAGAATGCCAGGCAGCGCCGAGACTCCTTGGTGGATAGAGCAAAAAGGACTATGAATAGGGTGAGCAAACAAGTAGAGAAAGCAGTGGCTATGAGAAGACAGTCGAAATTCAGATATATGGTGTTCAAGAAGGCATTGACAGCAGCTTCTGAACCCATCACTGAGGACATGTGAGGTAATGCTTCTAACAGAATGCACACATACATCAATGATATACTCTACCTCTAGTACCAGATGATGACCTTCTTTGGTTTGCACAGCACGCAGTCCAAACAGAGTTAGTACTCCCTCCACTTCTTGAGATCCGTGACTAAAGAGAAGGCTCATCAGAGAAACCACATAATTTGCAATCGGACTTCTCGCCTTATAGCAGTTAAAAGTACTTTCTGTACTTTGCTTGCAGAATAAGAGTCGTGAAACTCACCAAGTCCAATTACTATTTTATGGTATACAAACTAGCATGCAGCGCGCGAAGGTAGGGATTCTACCTCTACTGGCATAATATAATGGAGTTGGTGTAAAAAACGCGCGTTGCAATGTCGGGGACCTCTTGGCAGTTTTGGATATTGATGGAAAGTTGAGGTACTGTTTCGTGAAACGAAAACGACGCGATGAGTGCTTCGAGAAAGCAGGTTTAGCCTCAAGAAGTCGGCGGAATACGTTGCTGGATGTTGCTGTGCGCCATGGGTTCGAATCACCTGCGAATACAACAGTACTTTGAAGTGGATGTATGGTTCGATCGGCCAGAAACAGACAGGTTTTACGAATGGACTGATGCAAGGCCTTGACGACGACTTGATTATTATCAGGTGGCGGTCCACGAGGCTGATATATATTTCCCTAATGGCTATGATTATAAACTCCCAAAGTATCTTAGTTTTACGAACCCCTTGATCGTGACGGCCTTCTGCTTTTCGTCTGCCGGGACAGGAATTATTGTGTGGCAGACAGACTGTGGCCGCTCTGTGGCCCCATCTCGGATCCGGACTCAGAAAACGGTGCCAACGGGATACAGCAGCCTGTAACCCGTTCACAAACGAAGAGAAGGGTGTAATGCACTCATAGTACCGACGGCGGTTCCTGGAACATGTAGAAGGCACACGTACAACTGGCAGAATATCCTGAGCGCCCCCCCCCCGCCAAGACAAGAGGAAGAACCGTCAGAGATACGAGTAGTGGCAGCTATGTAAATGCAGTAAGGCAAAGTCATAATGCAATCGATTTCGGCGGGATCACACCACACAATACTTATACTCTCTCGCTAGTATCACAAGATGCTTGGAATTCATTGCTCCCCCGGCGTGCGAAATCTGCAGCATCAGGTGTCTTCCCGATCACTACAATTTCGTTCTCTCTCTTCCTGCCAACGCCATTTACCCCACCCAGGTTCGGATTGAGCCAGAACACGTCTTCAGCTGATGATTCCTTGCGACTCCGAACCCACTCTGATCCTGAGAACCAGAGTGTGGCACATAATACACCAATGACAGTTACGTAGTTGTTGATCAAGAGTAGCAAGCCGCCGGTATTGGGGGACCGATCTGTCGAGATCAAGATGATTTGTGCGATGTTGAATATAAGAGGGAAGACGAAATTGGCGACAGAGATGTAGAAGATTTGCCGGATGCGCTCTGATATGCCGCCTACTGCATATCGGGTGTGGAGCTATTCAGTTCGCTAGCTAGGAAGTACGGAGAGCGAGCTCACCACTTTGTATCAATGATGTGCGCATATGGAGGTTGTAAAGGAAGAAACTGACAGAGTATCTTTCGAAAACGTAACAGCTAAGCCTTCAGCGGATGACACTGGTGGTTATCAACTCACAAGTTGTCTGCCATCTGCATCGTCCATTCAGCCGTAAGTTTGGGGTTACGATACCAGTCAGCCTCCTGGCTCTGCACAAGAGCCTGGGTGGTAGACCCAGACTTGACGTAGTTGTTGAGGAAGAGTGCCTGTACAAAGCATCACTGGCAGTGGACTTGAGAAACATCAAATACACGCACAAGGGCTACCACTCGAGCGCATTTGACGCAGAATGGGAATGCAAATATTTTCACTAGAGTGACCGAAGGCGTGCTAGCGATGGGGTAGAGTGCAAAGAGCCGGGTCAGCAAAATCGAGTCGTACAGTAATGGCGGGTAGACAGTAAAGACAATGGAAGTAATATAGACGCTCCTCGACACCTGATTGTACGGGTCGACTACCGCCTTCCCACTAGTCAAGCCGGTTAAGATGCCCAGGGTCAGGGCGATACAAATGGCAAGTACATTCAGCTGGAATACCACACGGCGTCGGGACTCCTTGGTGGAGAACCCAAGAAGCACTACAAGGAGGGTGGACAGACAGCCAGAACACGTAGCGCCAGCAAGGGTATAGTCAAAGCTTGGTCGTATTTCATCGACGAATCCGTTGATAATGGTTTCTGGACCAGTGACGGAGGACATTGGTGAGATAGAGGTCGCCGGGTCTAAACGCACATACGGACGCTATGATATACCTTCTCCAGAACCAGGTCTGCACAGCCGTGGGGGAGTAGTCTAAACGAAGCTAGCACTCCCATCGAGAAGTGCGCCTCCAAAGGAATGAATGAACCTGCAGCGTCTGTGTGTTATGTAAAGGGCAGAGGTGTCGTCTAGATAAAGTTTCGGCTAATGGCACGTTGAGACCAGCTTCTATGATGTTTGATCATATCATGAGATAGACAAGAACCGAATGAAACCTAAAGAATGATCATTGGCTCAGAAATCGCTGCCAACTCAAGTTGGAAAGGGGCAGTGACTTCCGCCAATTCAGTGAATTCAAAGGGCAATGACCGGCTGGCCGCGTCCGTCGAATGCATTGAAGGTATCTAGAAGTCTCAGAAGGCGCTGGCGCAACGCAGCATTCCACCCCGGCGAGATGATCCATGTGTCTCACACATTCTTGTTTGTAATTCGAGGTTAACAAAAGCGACAGCGATAATTGACACGCATCTATCCGCCTTCCGCTGCCCATAATGAAAGACTACTCTCACCGCTTCTTCGGCAGGAAACTCACGAGGGCATACCTAGACAGATGTCATCATCAGCCTCGCGCGATCTCAGACATAGCGAACTAATGGAACATACTTTCCATTCACTCTCCATCCTTTGTCCTTTTCGTCCAATTTGTCGGCGATGTCATGTGATATGCCGACTACGACGTCCGCCTTGTTCGTGCGAAGACTCAGTAGGGGGAACGATCCTGCAAGTGGCCCTTTGAAAAGACGGTCGTCAAGATATCCTCGTATGAATCGAAAGACCGCTACCAAGAGCCGTAGCAAAAGGCGTCGTTACCGGCCATTCGACATCCCCTGTCAATCTGCAATACGCCACATTTGGATGAAATCCTGCGAGTGGCAAACAAAAAAAATAGTGACACACTTGCGGTAACTAGAGAGGCAGGATGAACAAAGATAATGACCTCATGAACACAGTACATACTTGAGATCTCCCTGTTAGTAGCATGAGAAGCCGCACTGAATAAGATGAGTCATATGCTGACCTTAAATATCACCAGACTGCTTTCGGTGAGTAAACGCCACAAGTCATTCGCCTTGTCTTCCATGTACCAATACGGCCAGGGACCGGTCCAAAACTGAGCCTTCTTATGCCCATCCCCTGACTTCCGTACTTAGGCAAAATATGCCCTGTTCCAAATACCTTTGCCACCGTTTTACCATTTCGCTGAGATGATGAGCTGACTCCGGCGTGTTCCCCAAAGTTGTATCGAAAAATGTGGGTAACGATAGCGACTCTATAGCTTTGCGGAAGTCGGTTGGTGTGACGTCAGAAACAAACCACGGGATCAACTTCGGGCTGTGGACATGAATTGGCTGTGACAAGATTCATCTTCGTCACTCACTGAAAGACAGCTTTAGAGAAATAGGGGGTGTAAGTGACCAGAAAGTCGGCGAACACCAAGTCAGTAAAAAGCTTCCAATAGGTCAGGAGTCGATGGAAGCAGAAAGGTGTTCCTTGCCCACCTCAAACCCAGCTGGAATTTATATGAGTCAAATACAACTATAGAGGAGTTCTTTCAGTACCGTTATCGAGAATGAAGTCGCATGTAGCAACAGTCCCAGCTTGAGATTTCAAATTCTTGATATACTCCCAGGCTGCATTCTTGATCGTCTTTGAGGATGAATTCCTTTTCTGGCTTGCTGGGCCTCCCTCCCAACCGTCTGTAGGTGTTCGATATCAGAGGGAGTGAGGTGTGTCAATAGAGAAAGGTCCTGGTTCGGAGTACGTCAATTTTGTCTGTCAGAGCGGCTGCTACACCACACTCTCTCACAGTGGCATTTCCCCTGCGTTCGAGAGTCACTATGACAGCCTGTCTTGGACATGAGAGTAAGTACGTACCAAAGGCACATCTGGACCATCTCTTTGAAGAGTACGGAGAGCTTATCGGGATCATCTATGAGCTTATCTTTCTCTGTCTCCAACTCGTGCATCGTCGTTGCAATCTCTATGGAGTAGATGTTAATCGATGATTTCAAGGGTCGCATGGTCTCACTTACGATGTATGGCAGTTACACTACTTCGAAACGTTTCTTCCTTCTTTGAGTCGAATGGATCAAAGTCCACCCAGTAAGTGGTCTGCTTGAAATAAGACCGGAATAGGCGGTATCTAAAGCTTGCCGTGAGAAGGTCTCATTGTATATCGGGACACTTACAGGTAGCACCTACGAACCGTGCGGGTGAGCGAGAGAATATCAAGTCTGCACAGCATCATCCTTACTCTGCGTAGAGCCAGGGGGCAGTAAACCACGTATTCTTGCCGATCTGAGCGAGCTTTTCTAATTCTGAGTTGTATTCGTGAACGTAAATCTCCCCGTCCTCCGGGATCTTTCTGTAAATCCAAGCGTCACGAATCCGCACCACGCATCGACCCCAAAGACTTACTCGAGTTCCTGATCTCTCCCCATGCGATACTTGAGGTGGTTAGCTTTCGCAATGATCTTTTTTCCTTCTTCGATCTTTAACTGGATAGTACGGTCGGTCGACCCATTGTTAGCGACCATTGTCAGGTTATGGACCTGATTGTGAACATGGCTAATCAGGTCGGTGATGATAACCGGCCATCGTTCGACCACTGTAGTGTAACTTGCCGAGTCCCTCCGATGAGATGTGTCGTCACAGACCGGGGACGAACAAACTTACGCGAAGCTGAGTGGCGTAGCTGTGTGTGAGAGGTGATGCACACTGAAAATTTGGATCCGTACTCGCCTGCTCTTATCTCGAGGATCGCAGGGAGGATACGGGGATTCGAACATGCCAGACTAGTGACGTGGGCAGCGCCGTCCGACGTAGTGGTGTGTTGTAAACCAAACTAGTGGCTGCGTGGGGAAACGACAGCACTTACAACTTATAAGTTAGGACTTTCAAGTGTTGCACGCTCAGGAAAAATGAACGAAGAAAAATAGTGTTCATGAAGCATAGTGCATAATTTGCATAGTTGCATACGTGCATAGTAGCAGAATTTAGAATACAATGACCACGTCAAAAAGCTAGTGGATGATATATCCATATCCGACTCGTCGCTGCGAATGCTGGACGCGACCCTTGCTTTTACTCCTCCTCTGCGAGCGTAGGCAGTGTCCCGATAGTGGTGAGATTTTGGGGAGCACTTCCCGCACGCGCCCCTGACATTGACAAAGAACGTTTCAACGATGCAACTCGGCGTTTAGCAGGCTCCGAGGCTGATTCCAGGGTAGGTAACGACTGCGATGCTGAGAGAGGCCTGGGTCGTGCGCGAGTCGCTGGCGGAGGAGGAGCTGACACGAGTGATTGCCGTCTTTGCGCCACGTTTTGCGTTGCGGGAGATAATTGTTCGAGTGCAGGTTCAACGGAAGAGACGGGCCACAATTCAGTGGAATTCGAGGCTTGATCCTGTGGCCATGGTAGGTTCCATTCGAAATCATCCAGGAATGACAGCCCCTCTTCTCGCTCCCACCTCCAAATTTCCTCAATCCGGGTCATCATACGACTCGCGAGATCTTCCAAACGCCCTAGAATGGAAACACCCGAAATAAGCATCAAGTCAGATTTGCTTTCAAAATCCTACCTTTGAGCGTTCCTTCTATCGGAGTTTGCAAATAGGATTCGCACAACACTTCGTAGACGAGGCAATAGAGCAAGAGACGGAAGTCCATGCTTTTATAATTTGTGTGTAGAACGAGATCCAAGAGAAGGTAGCTCTCATACACTCCGTCGGCAAGCTGAGATATGGGGAATGAACAACACGCATCATATGCTAAGCCGGGTTGCCTACCCAAAGGACGTTGACGAGCTGTACAAATGAAAGTGCTCAATAGTGACCCTGTTGCCCCGCCCGGTGAATGAACTTACCTCTTCTTTTTCATCTTGAGTCAGAAATGGTTTAGTATGGATGAAATTAGACAGCGTGAGGCAAGCTTGCTTAAATGCGTCAGCATCTGGTCTGCTATACTGCCCTATGAAAGTATTCCTGGTTTCTTTCAGCACCAGCGCTGCATCCCTGGGGAAAGTGTCGGCTAGTCCGTAGTGGCAATCAAATAGGTCGAGTAGCTCTTCAAGCGAGAGATTAGAGTAGGTGTGATCACTCGACTGCGTTTCGGAGTTGGACATCCCGTGTATGAATAGAAAAAGAGGCAGAGGTTGCGGGTGAGATTGCAAAGACTTGACGGATAAAAACTGGACATTTTATGCGGACGGCAGCAAAGCAATGGTGGACTGCATTAAAATCATTGTCCTCCTTGCTGAATACGCGATTCAACTACGCTTTGACAAGACCCGCTGGAGTCGATGAGACAACCAGCCGTCACGGAGGTCGGAGCGAAGTCAAAGCGTCTGTGATATTGTCCACACTTGTTGGTTTCTAGAAAGAGACACATATGAGTCACCCCCAGGTTCCTTCTGGTGATCGGCATATGAACTGCAGTATCCACATAGCGGGGCCGACCCGGCGTGGCGTTCCGGGGTTTCAGCCCACGACCACCGTTGTGTATGGCCATCCATTGTCCAACTTCAACAAAGGGAGTTTCTGCGAACAAACATTAGTACATATCGATAACCACAGCAAAGAAGTGCGTTCTGCATGCTGCATTAACGAGGTTGGACATGAGGATGTCGCGGACAGTGGCACAGATGTGATGATGAAAGGGAAAGTGAAGGTCAGTGCGACGATTGAAGGGAATACCACTCACACTAAAGTTGGAAGAAGGTGTATTATACCAAATGACACAAGGTGAGCGTAAATTTTCTAGGACGCAGAGGCGGACTTATGGCTGTATATATGTCACGGCACTGAGACTTCCGTGATGCTTCCGTGTGGAACCACACTTCGAACTCGGGCAAAGCCGTTCATGAATTGTTCGACCCTAGTCCTTCCATCACTGGACCCGACCCTCCCTGTCGTGCACAATTTCATTTCTCGAAGGACCGGCGCTGGTGCTTCCAAGCCTTTAGCAAAACTTCCACGTCAGTAGCCGACTTGATCTGAGGTTGAATGATGGTGACTTGGGGCAAGCGTAGATCGGAATCTACCGTGGCACCCGGTTCGATCGAATGCTGCGTTCATTCCACCAGGAGTGCGCCACGAACACATACACACGTAATTCATCATGCGAACCCATCGCTTAATTGATTAACATGGAAGTATTTCCCAAGGACAATCTACGCCGGTCGAAGATAGGTATATCAAGAACATCAGGAAACGGGTGCCCGGAGAACTGGAATGAGGGTTTATAAGTGTGCACGCATTCTTGATCCCCCATTCTCTTTTCACAGCTCCAGATGCTATCCTCATCTTTCAAGACATGTATCGGAATGCCAGCATGGACCGATGAACTCATACGAAAATCGTTATTAGCTGAGGATATTATCGATGTTCATTTTCATCTGTTCTCCTATAGATCTAAGGCGAGAGTACTTCCGTCCACGTACGTTGAATGCCAACGCCGCTCTCCTCCAGAGCACTGGTGCAAAATACTTTGATGATCGTAAGCTCTATTGATTTGCTAGTACGACGACACTCCTAGTAGGTTACTGATTGTTTTTGATCAGTGTTTAGCTCAGCTGCGATTCCGTCTCCTGCACTGATGATCAATGTCAAGACAACGGATTCCTATCTTTGACGGGCTTGAGCTGGATGGCTATGGTTATGAAAGTGACAGTGACCTCGAGGACGAGGACGATGGCACCTCTGTCAAAAGTGATACTGGTCAGTGTACCCAGTACACCTTTTAACATTGGTGCTATAACGTCCAGGAGATATCTTAGCATCACGCGCCCACACACCTGTGGCCACGGGTTCTGATCACGAGGAGACGGTCTCATATCCCTACTTACCGGATACATCAAGTTCTGCGGATGATTATACCTTTCCCGTCAAACAGAATGGCTTAGATGCGACTAGTGTGATGCCATCGTGGGGTTCTCAGGACCTCCAGTCTAGCGGTATGCCATTGTTGTCCGACCGTGGCTGCCACATCTTTGTCAAGGATACTGCGTTCCAGACGTAAGTTATCTCTCCACCACAGAACCATGTGTAACTTACACCATGTAGGTGGTACTCCCTTTTGTACTATCTCTATACAGATAATATTGCATTTTCGCCGCTCAAGTCGTCGGGTCCACAGGGGCCTCAGAGGTTTTCACGCACGGCAAAGCCAAGGCCGCAATGCTCACCGAAATCGATGTACAGCCTGGCGACAAAGGTCTGAGCAAGTTCTGATCGATTGAGGCATTTCACTGACGAGTTACAATCCAGCTCGGTATCGACAAACTCCGTGATCAGGCCTTTGCTTCTATTCGCAGCAATGTGGATGAAAACAACTTATTACAAGAATTGGCAAGTAGTTTTACCGGGAGGTTCGTGCACTTCTCACATGACCTGTACATTCCACTGAGCGATGCCATAAGCAGGTACCCGGCCGTCCTGGAACTGGAACTGGATTTACTTGCGGAAGAGATAGCAAGTGCGCCCATTGTTGAAGGCTTACCCCACCTCATGAGGCGGATTGCTCAAAAGGAGCTGTCCCATGGGGCTGATATCTTGATTGGATACAACGCTCGAATTCTTCGTAAACACTATTTATCTACACGACCCACTCCAGCTGCACGCCACCCGCCATCATCCCGAGAAAGCGTTCCTCTACAACTTAAAACATCCAATTCAGTTACCATCTCCGAGTGGTCCCCGGAAGAATTTGCCGATCATCGTATCTCAGACAAAGAGGATCAATCATGCCCGTCGTCACCATCCTCGACACAAGCTGTGACGTCACGGTCTTATGGTAGCGGGGCTCTCACTAAGACTGCAAACGTCTCGAATCAGAAGAAGAAGAAGAAGAGGTAGAAGGCCGTCATCTGAGTACGCTCTGCGAACTTCCAGGCTTGCTTAGAGTCGGACATGATACTCTTGTACGTGTACTTGATATGCTTGTCTATCACATCACAATGGAGACGTTCGCACTTGTCTTCGGGTCGCCTAGGACTCAGTCCTAGAAACAGGTGCAGAACATGCCTCTCGAGGTTCCAGGAAGTGGCCGCCTACTGATATGGTCATTACTTTGAAGAACCAGTGGACCAAGTGAAGAATGCACTTGCCAGCGCCGAATCATTCGTTAACTACTAGTTTAGAGAGTACTTGATAGCTGGTGCTCAACCCTTCCTCTTTCGTCTCCGAAGATGACATTCGACATGGCTAAAATTTTAAGGTGACGATAAGCGGCACCACGTATGTATATTGGACGGTCATAGTAACGTTTCAACCATGGTTTGGGTGGCATTGGATGTAATTACCAAAGACGCATATAGATTTACTATTGAATGACGGTCAAACTCAGTACCGGCCCCCTGCGATCAAAAATCGTGATGGAAGATTGTCATTCGGCGCACGATTATAGAAACTCCGCAATGTCGTGGAGTGTCTCGTCAGTGGCAAAGTTTGCACGCTCCGTGAAGGATGTGTAGATGTCCTCCGTACGTCGTGAAAACTGGCATCGGTGGCGAAGACAAAACAAAAAAAAGGACATCGTCGTTCGCAGGACCTTCATCTTCCGCTGTGTATTTCCTCGTTTCTACATGTAAATTGCTTGGTATTGAACGGCTCTTGCCAACCTAGTAACCGAGAAAATTGATGCCAGAATACCTTGAAATCGGATGGCATAATGTTCAGAGACGCAGTAGAAACACCCACTATGATTGCCCAATCGTTTATATCAGGCTTGAGATAGGGATAGGCCCCTAAGGCCATAGGTCTTAGCTCGAATGGCTCTTCAAGCGAGAGATTAGAGTAGGTGTGGTCACTTGACTAGGTTTCGGAGTTGGACATTCCGTGTATGAATAGAAAAGAGGAAGTGGTTACAGATGAGATTGCAGAGACTTGACGGATGAAGACTGGATATTTTATGCGGACGGCAGCAAGGCAATGGTGGACTGCATTGAAATCATTGACCTCCTTGCTGAATGCGCGATTCAACTACGCTTTGACAAGATCCACTGGAGTCGATGAGCCAACCAGCCGTCACGGTGGTCGGAGCGAAGTCAAAGCGTCTGTGACATTGTCCGCACTTGTTGGTTTCTAGAAAGAGACACATATGAGTCACCCCCGGGTTCCTTCTGGTGATCGGCATATGAACTACAGTAACCACATAGCGGGGCTGACCTGGCGTGGCATTCCGGGGTTTCAGCCGCAATCATTGTTGTGTATGGCCATCCATTGTCCAACTTCAAGAAAAGGAGATTCTGCCAACAAACATTAGTACATATTGATATCCACAGCAAATAAATGCGTTCTGGATGCCGCCATAGCGAGGTCGGACATGAAAAAGTTGTGGGTGGTAACACAGATGCGACGATGAAGGGGAAAGCGAGGGTCAGTACGACGGTTGAGGGAAATACTACGCACTGTGAAGTTGAGAGAAGGTACATTATACCAAACGACACAAGGCGAGTGTAAATTTTCTAGGACGCAGAGGCCGGCTCATGGCTGTATATATGTGCACCGAGGGTTCCGCCATGCTTCCATGTAGACGTGATATCAGGATGTATTCATCACACTTCCGAGGTGCAAAAACTTCGAACTCAGGCAATGCCGCTCGTGAATCGTCCGACACAAGTCCTTCCACCACTGGTCCCGACCCTCCCTGGCGTGTACAGTTTTATTTCTCAAGGACCAGCGCTGGTGCCTCCATACCTTTGGCAAAACTTCCATGTTAGAAGCCAGCTTGCTCTGAGGTTGAATGATAGTGACTTGGGGAAAGGGTAAATCAGAATCTACTGGCATCACAATTGATGAGGTGTTCATTCCCACATTGGGGTAGGGGGGACTGGGGGGTGTAGCAGGGAGCACAGCCGCTGTGCTGAGTCAGCATGGTCGGAGGCGGGTTGCACGCATGTAGAGTTTAGTAGCTCATCGTCCTACAGCTTGCCTGGGGCTCAGCTCATTGCTAGTGAGGCTGTCTCCCACTACTCCAACGTATTTCATCATGAAAACTCAACGCTTAGTTGATTAACATGGAAGTATTCCTCAAGGACGATCTACGCTGGTCCAAGATGGGTATATCAAGAAGCATCGGGAAACGGGCTCCCGGAGAACTGGAATGAGGGTTTATAAGTGTGCACGCACACTTGATCCCCCATTCTCTTTTCACAGCTCCAGATGCTATCCTCATCTTTCAAGACGTGTATCGGAATGCCAGCCTGGACCGATGAATTCATACGAAAATCGTTGTTGGCAGAGGATATTATCGATGTTCATTTCCATCTGTTCTCCTATAGATCTAAGGCGAGAGTACTCCTTCCGCGTACGTTGAATTCCAACACCGCCCTCCTCAAGAGCACTGGTACAAAATACTTTGATGACCGTAAGCTCTATTGATTTGCTAGCACTACGACATCCTAGTAGTTACTGATTGTTCTTGATCAGTGTTTAGCTCAGCTGCGATTCCGTCTCCTGCGCTGATGATCAATGTCAAGACAACGGATTCCATCTTTGACGGGCTTGAGCTGGATGACTATGGTTACGAAAGTGACAGTGACCTCGAGGACGAGGACGATGGCACCTCTGTCAAAAGTGATACTGGTCAGTGTACCCAGTACACCTTTTAACATTGGTGCTATAACGTCCAGGAGATATCTTAGCATCACGCGCCCACACACCTGTGGCCACGGGTTCTGATTACGAGGAGACGGTGTCATATCCCTACTTACCGGATACATCAAGTTCTGCAGATGATTATACGTTTCCCGTCAAACAGAATGGCTTAGGTACGACCAGTGCGATGTCATCGTGGGGTTCTCAGAACATGCCGTCGTTGTCCGACCACGGCTGCCACATCTTCGTCAAGGATACTGCATTCCAGACGTACGTTGTCCCTCCACCACGGAACTTTGCGTAACTTATACCATGTAGGTGGTACTCCCTTATGTACTATCTCTACACAGATAATATCGCATTTTCGCCGCTCAAATCGTCGGGTCCTCAGGGGCCTCAGAAGTTTTCACGCACGGCAAAGTCAAAGCCGCAATGCTCAGCGAAGTCGATGTACAGCCTGGCGACAAAGGTTTGAGAAAGTCCTGATCGATTGAGGCATTTCACTGACGAGTTACGATCCAGCTCGGTATCGACGAACTCCGTGATCAGGCCTTTGCTTCTATTCGCAGCAATGTGGATGAAAACAACTTATTACAAGAATTGGCCAGTAGTTTTACTGGGAGGTGCGTGCAACTTTCAAATGTCCTGTACATTCCCACTGAACGATGTCATGAGCAGGTACCCGGCCGTCCTGGAACTGGAACTGGACTTACTTGCGGAAGAGATAGCAAGTGCGCCCATTGTTGAAGGCTTACCCCACCTCATGAGACGGATTGCTCAAAAGGAGCTGTCCCATGGGGCTGATATCTTGATTGGATACAATGCTCGAATTCTTCGTAAACACTATTTACCTGCACGATCCACTCCAGCTCTGCCCCGCTCGCCATCATCCCTGGAAGGAGTTCCTATACAACTTAAAGCATCCAATTCAGTTACCACTTCCGAGTGGATCCGGGAAGAACTTGTCGAACGTAACATCTCAGACAAAGAGGAACAACCGTGTCCGTCATCATCCTCGACACATCCTACGACGTCGTGGCTCTCATCGTATGGTAGCGCAGCTCCCACTAAGAATGCGGACGGCTCGATTCCGAAGAGGATGAAGAAGAAATACTAGAAGGCTGTCATCTGAGTACATTCTACCCAGAGCAAAATGCACCGTACTTCCGGGCTTGTTTAGAGTCGGACATTACAGTTTGTACGTGTACTTGATACACTCGTCTATCCGAGATGCTTGCACTTGTCTTCGGGTCGCCTAGGACTCTGTCCTGGAAACAGGCGCCGATCACGCCGCTCGAGGTTCCAGGAAGTGGGCGTCCACTGCTATGGTCATTACTTGGAAGAACCAGCGGACGAAGTCAAGAATGCGCTTGCCAGCGCCGAATCATTCGTTGACTACTAATGTAGATAGTACTTGATAGCTGGTGCTCAACCCTCCCTCTTTCATCTCCGAAGGTAACGTCCGACGTGGGTGAGATTGGGTAGTAGTCATTCGGCGCACGGTTATGGTCGGTACAGAAAACTCCTCACTAATCCGCAATGCCGTGAAGTGTCTCGTCAGTGGCAAAGTTTGCACGCTTCGTGAAGGATGTGTAGATGTCCTACGTACGTCGTGAAAATTAGCATCGGTGGCGAAGACAAAACAAAAAACAGGACATCGTCGTTCGCAGGACGTTCATCTTCCGCCGTGTGTTTCCTCGTTTCTGCATGTAAATTACTCAGTATTGAACGGCTCTTACCAACCCATTAGTCGAGAAAATCGATGCCAGCATAGCTTGAAACCGGAAGCCACTAATGTTCAGAGACGCGGTAGAAACACTCACCATGAACATCCAATTACTTGCATCAGGCTTGAGATAGGCCCATAAGACCATACATTATTGCTCACCAGCATCCTTTGATTATATCAAGAGCAAGTCACAGGGCATTGCGGGAAATCAGTTCAGTTCCAGCTCATATCACTACTCCGACCGTTCTAGAAAGCCAGTACGGATAGTTCGACGCGCATGTGCGCATGTGTAAAGGGGAGAAAGTACAAGAAACGTAGTCGTATATGCATGTCTCCTAACACGACAATTGGGGTTGGAGAGGAGATGGGGTAGGGTACTATAGACTCCTGGTGCTGTGCGGTGATTGCGGCCCACGTGACTGTGCCACGACACGCGCCGATACGAGAGCCACCTCGTGCTGAGTACGCAACAAGCAATACAAAGGCACAATATTTGCTGAAAGGCACATAAAGACGACCGCGCTCTTGGGCCCTGTTTGGCGCTCGAGGTTCTCTTCCCTCATGTCATCCCAGCAGAGCACTAGTACACCGGCGTGGACGGAGGACCTGCTCAGGCGATCCTTGCTGGCGGAGGAAATCATTGACGTTCATTTTCATTTGTTCTCCTCCAGGTCAAAATCTTCGAAGAGAGTGCGGCACCCTCGCGTGTTGAACTCCAACACTGCTCTCCTCAAGAACAGTGCAAAATATTTTGCTGACTCTGAGTGTTATGCTATTTCCAACAATGTCTTCCGAGGGACCAATCACCTCGACTTAGTGTTCAGCTCGGAAACCACTCCATCTGGCCCGAAGACGGTAGACGTCAAGGATAGCGACGAATTATTTGACGGGCTTCCGCTGGGTGACTATGGTTACGAAAGTGACAGCGATCTCGAGGACGAGGACGATGGAAACACTGACGAAGATGATGATGGTCAGTGGCACTCAACGTGGCCTTCGATGTTTCACTGTAACATCTGAACTTACACACAAGGGACCCCAGGTTACGAGATGAATTACGATGTCAAGAAAAGTCCGGGCACCATTTCAGGTCCGGACGAGCGTAACGACGAGAAACTCGACACGAAGATTGCCCAAGCGAACTGCGCGAGGCCTTCGGTGTCATATAAAGGCCGCCGTATCTTTGTCAAGGATACTGCATTTCAGACGCACGTTGTCTCGCCGCTGCGAAAGTATGCGAGGCTGACGTGGACCCACCTGGAAGGTGGTACTGCCTCGTGTACTATCTATACACAGGCGTGATTACCTTTTCGCCGCTCATGTCTTCAGGTTCACGGGATTCCCAAAGCCTCACTCCCAACGGCGACAAAAGACCGCTGTGCTCAGCCAAGTCCATGTATGCCCTCGCCACAAAGGTAGGAAAACATAGCCTTCCTATCACTCATAGCCGTGCTTCTGACATGTCACTGCACCCCCAGCTTGGTCTCAACCAACCTCGTGATCAAGCCTTTGCCTTCATTTGTAAGAATGTGAACGAAAACAACGTGTTGCAAGAATTAGCTTGCAGTTTTGCTGGAAGGTTTGCACGCACTTCATATATTGGCTCGTGCACACTCAGAGCGACAACATGATTAGGTATCCAGATGTTCTTGAATCCGAGCTCGACTTGCTTGCGCAGAATTTGGCAACCATTCCCGTTATCCAAGGCTTCCCACAGCTCATGAGACGCATCGCCAAGAATGAGTTGGCCAATGGAGCTGATATTTTGATTGGGCTTCACACACGGATTATTCGGCAGCACTACTTGTCTGTGCCTAACACAACAAGCTCGTCGACCCGACCCGCCCCGGCACTCTCGCTGACCCCACCCACGACAACAGTCCCGCAGGTCCAGCCCGCCACCACAGTCCCGCTGACCCAGCTTGCCCCAACTACTCCATCCCTATTTCATACTCCTCCCACTGTGGCCTCGGCAACGCAGCCATTCTCGTTTCCAACCGCTTTCCTGACCACAAAGGCCGGCGGCGGCGTGTTTGCCAATGCAAGCAAAACGAAGTAATTATATCGTAAACTAATTCCTAGCATTCAAGTGCATAACTGAACACATAATGGATGGCTACTAATTGGGAGGACGTGGTACAGAGAATGAGTGAGTGAGACTCTATGGGTCATTGGCCGTAGCATTCCAAGTGAAAGAGTTGTGTATATGCGGTAATACTCGTTGTAAGGAATGACTATTCCCCTTCGACGCTTTTGATTCTTTTGATTCGGGGTTGTTGTCTTTCCATTACGATTTGATCTGGTGGCCGTGTGGTGGCCACAGACTCGAGATGCACTGGCAAATACACTTACATGTCATACCGTTCAAGTCGATGTCGCCACCCTGCCAAAAGCCCGTGTATCAGCCTTCCTCTGTCAGATTCCAGTCAGATAGAGAGCTTGCAACCCCGCGTCGAGCCGCTTGGCTGCGACGTAGCAGGCAAGTGGTTCAATGCGGTGTGCACCTGAAAGTGCCCCACGACCGTCGACGGTCGCACTACACGTGTAAACAGTCTTTCCCTTTTTCTTCCTTTTCCTTATGTCTTCCTTCTTAGTTTCTCGTTTGCCTCCAGCTGCACTCCGAACGCACACAAGGACATAGTTCTTTTGGTCAGTTCTTCTCGAGCAACCGAAAGACCACCTCTAACGAGAACGGACTATTCGTTGTGATCGAACTCACTTGCATTATTGACGCAGCATTTCGTCGCACGCATATTCGGCTAACGGGACTCCCCCAATCAGAACCTGGCACTCATCTTCATGGGTCATACATTCTCATTCCTCAGCGAATTCGTTCCGCCGAGGCCAAAGTTCACAACTGACGATATCCCCGACCTGACTGGAAAGGTCGTCCTTGTAACCGGCGCTAACGCCGGGATCGGGAAAGAAACCGCTAGAGTATGGTCACCAATTAATGGTGTGTTGGATGTGTGTCAACTGCTCACGTTCTGGACTTCCTAGGTACTTCTTACGAAGAACGCCAAAGTCTGGATTGCCTGCCGTAATGTTTCCAGAGGAGAGGCGGCTCTCATGGAACTCAAGGAACGCACTGGCCGCGATGCGCATCTCCTCAAGCTAAACCTTGCCAACCTCCGGTCCATCAAGGAGGCTTCCGAGGAGTTTCTGAGGTATGTACTAGGTTTCTCGTCGTCGTTTCTTCACTGTATATACCATATTTGCATGACAGCAAGGAAACGCAGCTCCACGTGCTCTTCAACAATGCGTGAGTTTATGCGTGTATGATTCGAGTCCGTACAGACATTGTTCGTGACTTGCGCCTCTCTTTAGAGGTGTCATGCACCCGCCCGTTGAACTACTCACAGATGACGGATATGACCTGCAATTTGGCACTAACGTACTCGGTCACTTTTACCTTACTAAACTCCTCCTTCCTATCCTTCTTTCGACCGCAAAGTCCTCTCCTGTTGGTACCGTCCGCATTGTGAATACCTCTTCGACCGCACACTGGTTCGGAAGTCTTGACTTCGACACTTTCAAAGACACTCCAAAACGGAGGGCGCAGTACGCGATGCCGTTGTATTGCCAGAGCAAAGCGGTATGGCTATGACCATGTGACCCATATGTATATGCACATGATCTCCTGAGATGGACTCGTCAGGCTAACGTCGTGTTCTCTGCGGAGTTGCACCGCCGGTATGGAGATCAGGGTATAGTGTCGACCTCTGCCAACCCAGGTCTGTCTCGAATTTTTCTGCGCGTATCTGTCACATGGCGACCTCCTGAACCTTGGCAACTAGGTCTGATTGCGACTAAACTTTTTCGGAATCACACAGGCATTATTCGGTGGATGGCGGTATGCCGTTCCATGCGGTTGTGTGCTCTAGTTGATGTATTACTTCGTGTTTCAAGGGCGTGGTCCTGTACCAAGTCTCAGACGGTGCGCTCACGCAACTGTACGCGGGTACATCGCTGGAGACTGCTAGGACTTGGCGGTCAGGTGCCGATCTCTCCTTTCCCTTGTTCGCGCGCTGTATAGATAAACGGATCGATGTGCCTGCAGCACTTCGTGCCATGGGCGCGGGTGGGGGAATGCCACCCATATACACAGGATCTGCAACTTGGAAAAGAACTGTGGACTTACTTGGAGGAGCAAGTGGAGAACCTTTACAGAGATGATCTGTGTGAGAATCCAGTGATCTGTATATGACCCTCGTGGCATGGCGCACGGTGACCAGAATTTCCAACCCGGCTTTCGTTCCGTCCAATACTCCTGTTTGTAACTGCGCAGTCCCTGAAGCCTAAACGTTAAACGGGCTGCCGAATTTGCACGCAATATTCTTATGTATGATCCCTATTTCTCCTCTCAACCTTTAGTCCCTTTTATGCCTCAAGGCATACCACCATTTGCGGTTGTTCGTCTCCATGAAAACCAAATAGGATACTTCATACCACAGTAGTGATTCTGATAGCGAGTCCGGCCACCCGGTACTAGTGTTGGCGCTTCCGCTGATAAGGACTTGGCTGCTGCGGGTCGCTACCGCTGTTTGCATCGAACCATTCTATCCGTCCCTCATGATGGTGTGCTTTTGTGCTTGAAATCAGTGTATCGATCTTGCCGTCGGCCTCGCGTCAATTTCGCGCTCACTGTTTAACGAGTTAGTTGGCGCTTAACTGAATTCGGGCGTAAAGGTTTAACCTCTGTTTCCACCAGCCGTTCGGCAACCCTGTACCACCATGGCGTAGGTTCAAATTGATCTCCAAGCTATGCCTATACTCCAACCTTTGCGAGTATCATGTATGGGTTTTCAGGCCGTCATTTCCATTGATTCCGACGTCGCATGAGACAGACATCGAGTTGCGAAGCTGCCGGGTATAATGTTGAATCCATCGAAGTCATTTTCGACGATCATCGACGAAGTATCCCTCGGCGAGGAAAACACCACTTTCGTGAGGATTTCGGTCAACCTCTGTAAGGATTTCTGTTTGGCATATGTATATCCATTCCTCAAACCCTTGGCCTGTATCTAATAGTGCAGTTCGAGGCGAGACAATTTCTTTCTCGGTTGCACATCGAGGGTGGTTTGTTCTACCCAAGAAGGCCCCCGAGGTGATCGAAATCAATGTTCACGATATACTATCCAAACTGCCGACGCAGAGTGAGTCCGATGCGCTATTTTCTCTTCCTCTTTTCTATCTAAATGATGTCTGAGTTTCAGACTGTGTGTAACAGGCTGATCATCACCCTTGGCCTGTCATCCAGTATTGTCTCAGATGTACGTGCGCAGTGGATTTGACCTTGAAACATTTTGATGTAGTATCTACAGAACGCAGGTTCCGGTCGAGACCCTAATTTCCTACAGCCTACTGCTGAGAAACTCCTTAACCTATTTCCTCGGCGAGTGCGTTTAACTCCCTGCGGCGCAAGTATCTTACACTTTTATGTCAGTTGTCGGATACTGGTAATCGGACAGGTAATGAGCATTTGTAGGTGCCACTCAGATGATTTTCAACGAAGATATCTTTGCAGCCCGGTGTTGGGAAATCTACGCTGTTTAACAGAGTCTTTGGAATCGAACAAGCAGTTGAGTGACTGTCAACATACGTACACTCTGACAGTTGAGGATGGGATGCTTAGTCCGCCGAAAATTTCGAGCCAGGACAAGCAGATATTGAGAAGGAACTCGTCTCACCGCAAAACGATCGATTGGTCTTACATTATAGTGACGGTTTCAATCCCGCAGTTGACGCCAACTGTGAGGGCGTGAAGTCATTCATTAAAAAAACGGAAGGAGAAGGAGTACGTCAGAGATCAGCTGCATGCGGTCTGGTAAGTCGTTTCTCAGAGTTGCAAAGACCCCAACAAACGGTTCATGTTGCAGGCTGTGCTTCGGAACACCCATTGTAGAATATGGAGAAAGAGTTCTGTACGAGGGTGCGGAGACATTTTTGAAACGGCATGCGAACGTTCTTCACGACAGTGAGCAAAGTCTGCCTTTTTCGACCCACTTCCTGAATCATCGTTGTCGTTAGTTCCAGCGATCGTCGTCTTCACGAAATACGACAACCTTTTAATTTACCTTGCAATACAAAGAGAAATATATCCAGAGGTGGCGGCGAAGGTGTATTTACAAAGGAACTGTATTCAGCCAATTCAGGACCTCGTCAAAGACACAGAACTCTCATTTGTTGCGGTCAGCTGTGGGTTATATTTGTTTTGATTCTTTTCCGCGGTTCAACCATTGGACTACTAGCAAGCGCCGGGCTTGAGCAAAGCTCCATGAATTAATCCAACTCACTCATGTGAAGGTCGCCGAGACTTTCGCGTCTCAGTTAGGTACACCATTGCCAAAGTCGGCGATGACTGCATGTGCGCTAAGAATGAGACCGCGTCTGAAGATCGAGGGGTCAATAATGTTGGTTCTCTTCACTTGTGTTCGTGTCGTGACCTGAAGAGTTTTCGTATAGCGTCGGGCAGCAGAGTAAGCAGTCACTATAGCGTGGAACTACTCGGATATTCATGCCACTCTGCTAAGGATATTGGAGGACACTGTTTTCATGCGTTAATTTAGGGGGACGCGCGATTGTCAGTTGCCTTGCTGCCATTCATACCGACATCAGGTTCTGTTTGGAATTTCAACGACCCATCTCAGGTGAGTGTCACCCAATTAACACCGCAGTTATTTTCTGAAACCTTCACCACAGTATCTGTACAGCAATGAATTTCGAGAAGTTATGGCAAACATAGCGGGGATCACCAATGCATCAACTCCTGCATTCTCTCGGCTCCCCCGCGTCACTACTACGAACTTCACGAACGAGTAAGTGCTACCGCTACTATTCAGGACGCACCAACATCATACTTAAGGGCAGCCGTACAGTTCAAGGTCTGGAGTTCCCCTCGTGACTTCTGCGCCTACAGTTCAGCCATATAAAGCGGACCCTGTCTTTCTGAGGTCCATTCACCGGCGAATGTGGGTGACGTTGTATCGTACTCAATATTCCCTACGATTTGCCTCCTCTTTAGACGCGACGTGCACCATAGCTTCATGGCTTACATTGTCCATCTGGTACACATCTTGGAGATATTGTTCGCAGTCATGGACGACAAGAATCTTACACGTGACGCCGTAAATTTAGCTATCAACATATACCGCCAGTCGGAAATGTGGCGGAATGCTCACTTGCAAATCAAGGGTTTCGATTGTAGGATCCCGAGTCGCGACGCCGTTCTTGACAAGATTGATTCCTTGGTCGTGATGAGCCCTTTTGACGACAGGGACATCTCCTGGGAGCTTGAAAGGATTCCTCCAGAAGCGCTGGAGCGGGTCGAAGAGTGGTATACAAATAGCGACGATTCAGCGCTTCGAGAACGCCTTGCATCGCTCGCCAATCTGGTTAATGACCTGAACCTGCAGTTTAGCAGGGAGCGTGACATGGATACTTCGGCGGATATCATCAACTTTCAACGTGCTATATTGGATATTACTCCCCCATTGCGCCGAGAACGTCTTACATCCGTTGTCAACCTCGCGAATAGCCTGGACAAGCGATTCAAGGCGAAGGGCGGTATCGAAGATTTGGGTCAAGTCATCGACCTCCGACGCGCTGCCTTGCAGCTCACTTTCCCGGGGCACCAAGGACGTGTGATGTCTCTTGACGACCTTGCAAATGCCCCTAAAGAGTGATTCCTGAGGGATGGCGATATGGATGACTTGAAGGAAGCTATTACCCTCCGACGTGCTTCCCCGCAGCTCACTTCTCCGGGGCATCAAGGGGACGTCGCGTCCCTCGACAACCTTGCGAATAGCCTGCTCGAACGATTCAGGAGGGAGGCCGATGCATCAGACTTGGAGGAAATTATTGTTCTTCGGTGCGCTGCCTTGCAACTCACTCCCCCGGGGCGCCAAGGACATGTCGTCTTTCTCGATAATCTTGCGGATAGCCTGCACGAACGGCACAGGCGTGAGGCAGGTGCATCAGACTTGGCAGAAATCGTTCGCCTCCGATGCACTGCCTTGCAGTTCACTCCACCAGAGCATCCGGAACACCCCGTGTTTCTTGCCAAGCTGTTGGATTGTCTCGATGAGCGGTTTAGCAGGGAGGGTGGCACAAAGGATTTGACGGAAATCATTACCCTCCGACTTACTGCCTTGCAATTCACTCCCCCCGGTCATCCAGGACGCTTCGCGTCTCTTGTCAGCCTCTCAAATAGCCTGCACGAGCGTTTCAGAAGAGGCGACGACTTGGCAGATTTAGATGAAGTTATAACTCTCCGCCGAACTGCACTAGAATGCACTCCACCATCACCTTCCGACAAGTGCATGTCTCTATTAAACCTCGCGACATGTCTCCGTGAAAAATACCAGAGGCTATGTGTCAAGGATGATTTGGCTGAGGCTGTCACGCATGCTCGGTGCTACCCTGGCGCTCTGCCCTTTGGAACATTATGATTCGTGCCTCGACTTTCTTGCAGACTGCGTGGATTTGCTGACCAGAAAATGGAGTCTGCCGAACCTTACGATGCAAGCCATTGGTTCTGGCGCCGGGTCGTCGGGTGTCAAACAGATGGTTCGGAACATTGTCGCTGAAACCATCAAGACTCTCCCACCACGATTACTGAACACGATAACGGGCGTCCTGTGTGATCGGGATGCGCAGATATCGTATTTTGAGGGTAGCATTCATTACGATGAGCTGCTATCCTCCTTGTCCTCCATATCCTTCAAACATGACGATCCTGCATGCAAGGCGTTAGTTCACTCAACAATCTCGAAATTCTTTCGGTACGGTACACTGTCTCATAGGTGGGGCACTGGCGAACCCCTACTACGTGACATCCAAGGAAATAATATCTATGATTTGGGTAATAGAGAAGGCATCGCAAAGCTCCGAAACTTCTCACTTCTCACTCTTCGACACCGCTACTCATGGGCATGGAGTGATACGTGCTGCATCAATAAGGACAGTAGTTCGGAATTACAAGAAGCCATCGCGTCTATGTTTTCTTGGTATCATCATTCGGCCTTAACCAACGTGCATCTCTCCGATGTATCCGACTCAGCTTCATCCACCAATAGCGTCTGGTTCCGACGGGGTTGGACTCTCCAGGAGTTGCTGGCTTCTCCTAGGATCCTCTTTTACACTCAGGACTGGTCCCTCTACAAGGGCTGCACTTCTCCAAACCACAAAGTGGACAGCGCTATTTTCGCAGAGCTTCAAAAGGCAACAGGAATTGGAGAGTCACATCTTAAGAACTTTAGCCCAGGCATAGATGATGCACGCTCTAGGCTTCGATGGGCATCGGCACGTTCTACCACCCGGTCAGAAGATTCTGCTTATTCGCTTTTCAGAATTTTCCAGGTTCATTTACCTGTCATCTACGGTGAATTCGCAGAGGGAGCCCTTGGACGGCTCTTGGTGGAGATCATTTCACGGTCAGGAGATGTCTCAGTTTTAGACTGGGTCGAGGAAGCATTGCCGTTCCATAGCTGTTTCCCTGCAAGCCTCACGCCATACCAGACTTTGTCTTGTGCGCAGTCAATTCCGAGCAACCCTTCCAAATACAATGGCGTTGATCGCGGAGAGGAGCACATATTGTATAACGCCCTTGTGCAGTTACCTTCCCCGCGGTTCGTCGGTCGTAGGCTTGCATTGCCTTGCATCGTCCATCGGATCACAAGGGTAAAACTAGCAACCTCATCCAACACTTCGTGTCATGACTATGAAATTTCTGCAACTAACCTGGTACCTCTGAAGCTCACAATGTCATCCCGCCTTCAGGAGGGTTCAGGTACAACTTTGCCATATGCCCTCATTCGTCCTTGGAGCCCGAAAGTACTTGATCTACTCGCACCCGATGATGTTCTAGGGAGTTTACTAGAATGGCTCGGACAGCCATTTAATGCCCTTCTGCTAGAGTCGTCGCTTCACAACGACTGGAAGAGAATCGCATCTGGTTGCTTAATCAATGTTCGCGTTGAAGATGTAGCTGGTGTTCTCGATAGTCAGTGCCAGATCCTGGAGATCGTGTAGATTTTCGCGTTGTAATCAGCCTTGGTGTGTTCTTCCTCGTTTCTTAGATAATTCTTGTAACGCGACGGGTATACCCAGATTACCGTTCATGCTAGAATACATTTACTCACAACACTATATATTCCCTCGGATTCTACTGCGTTGCGTCAACTTGTACCGATTCGAAATGGGAAGATGATTACTATCCGCACTGCTCATATCACATGTTAAGGGATTCTGCTGCGTGCATGCCATGCGGGACATAGGTAGCGATAAAGAATTACTACTACCAGACCGACGGTGAAAGTGATCACAATCAAAACCGACAACGGCGAACGATAATGATAGCTGAGGCGAAGCCCTTGTAAAGTCCTCCTTCCGCCAAACACATCCAAATACCTTACTCATCATCGTAGAACGTCATCGTTGCTTCCGTCCCCACCATCCCCTCAGCAACCCGCTCAGATCACGCCTAGTCTGCACCGGAGGTTCGGGTGTCTCCGCTCTGACCACCACTTCCAACCTAAATTTGACAGGCTGTCCTTGTTGGCAACGTACTAGTTGGCCTCGGCGCACTCGGACGACTCTGCCCCCTGCCGGCGGTGGATTATGCTATCCATAAATCCGTTAGTCTTGTACATAGAGGGTAAAAGCGGTTGTTGGTGTTGTCGTAGGGGAAGCACTTTGAGTAGTATGGTTCCCCTCCTGGAAAATCGAAGGTAGACTGACCTGCAGGTAAGGTGGGTTAGGGGATATGGTGAATCGCTGTCGGAAGTGTCGAGTTTTGAATGCACAATAGTACTGAACGCCCTTGGCTGATAGCAGGTGTGAACGCTGATTGGCCCACGTCGTCAAGGCTTCTTCAACGCCAACCTATGACAACTTCAAGGTACGAGTCGTAATGCATCCCTAGTCCATCTTCGTTTTTCCCCTCTAGCGGGCGACCTTTATGAAGCCTGCCCTTCTTGCTTGTATGAATTACAGCGTGAAGGTTGATTTTTTCTGCTGAATATGTATGTCTGCTTCTGAGGGCATCTCGAGAGACAGGGAGTCGTCGAGGGAGCGTTCACAATCTGAACGCTCAGGGATAGACCCATGGTTCGTATTTGGGTCAGTTGTTGCCAGGCTTCCCTGTGCTAGATTTCGCGCTTAACGTATGTCACACCGGCCTTTCAAGAGGATATCAAGGCGCCACCTATAATACTGGATGAGCGTCCGGCCGGCAGTCGCATTGTCTGATTCGGAACGTTGAAGCGAGCAGGAAAAACAAGACACGGGGAACTCACCAGCATGACAATTCTTCCGACTGCCCACTGTGCGTGACCACAGCTCACTGGTCCGATGAAAACCAGTAGCAAGGCACACCATCGAATTCTCCCTTGCAACGTATGTGTGTAGCCTATGTCTCATCTGCTTCTGCACTCCGACAATGTGGTTCTGGATGCCTATATTCCCACCGTTTCCATTCGGTTTGCTTTCTGTTCTGTTCGAGGAATTTCGTATTGATACTCCCTGGAAAGTACCTGCGAGCGTGGGAAGTGAGCTCTAAATGTAAGCTTGACGAATTGACTCGCCTGCGGTAGAACGATTAAAGCGTAACTGTACCATAAACGAGCCGAGCCATGAGCAAGGTCAAGAACGGACAAGGTATCCCTAGAAGTAGCGAGAGACACGTTGGTGGCCGGAAACGCATAAGTGGAACGTATCGCAGGTATGAAAACAACGACGATGCATCTTCGATAGTTCACCTCGTTCAACTGGCCATATACCCGGAGTTCCTGGTGATGATGGTGCGTGCATTTCACATTACAGCAGTTGGCCTTGGCCTATGATGTTGTGCCATGTTGGTGGTTGCGATGTCCCCTAGACAATTTGCCCTTGCGTCTTGTGATGAGGTTCAAGGGCAGATTGTTTATACCCAAGGGAATACCTGCGGGCCATTGTACCCGGGAGTTCCCCCCTCGGATCCATAATGAGGGAACCCTTTGTTGTTATGCTCCAGGTAATATCTACAGAGAAAACAACAAAGAATTCCTTCACAAAAGGCATTCATAGCCAGTCCGTGATATGGGAACATGAACGCGGTATGCAAATTCGCTATTTCGGCCAGCTGACTCTGTGTGGGTTTATGATTGGCCAGCGAGCGGAGATAAAACAGAAATGGTAAGAAGTTAGAATCTTTCGTAGTCAATGGTCCAAGTACTAAGCAAAGTCTCGAATCTGGTGAGAGGACCGGCTATTGCCAGCGACGTGAAGCATTTTGGCGAACTCGGGGTGCCTCTTGACTGGCGATGCTGCGCCGAATGAGACGCGTACATGGGACCCAGGAATTCTGAGTGTTTCACGGGCTTCCTCGCAGAAAACGGGTTTGAGGGACTTGTTCGCTTATATATGTGTCAAAGGCATTATCGAGGCGGATGGAGACAGACACGCTGATCAGAAGGTGCGGGTGCAGGTGAACAGGAGACGAGGATGGGGGCCCTCTTTATCTCTGAATCGGCCTATCGTACCACTTTCCATGTGGATCCCAGAGGGACGCATCGTGTTTGTGGAACCAGCCTTTGGCTTTGGTCGGCCTATACAGGGTGGCCTACAAAGTATCCTACGGCGCACTGACACAATTGTAAGTATGCGGGGCCGGCCGTTCACGGATGCACTTGTAGGTGTCAACGGTCACGTGTTAGGCGCTCTTGTACTTATAGAACTGTTTACGCTAGTTTACACCTCAGCGCTTGTGTCTACAACGCTGAGGTGGGTACGGTAACCCCTGAGGACATGCATGTATACTTACCTCCTGTAGTGTGTCTTATCAGGTATTGTCAATGGCAGCACTTGTGTCTACGACGCTGAGCGTGTCTTATCAGTTTACAACAGGTTATGAGCCCTCTTCAACACTGATTCTGACACGACTCATCCATCCGCATATAGGCACATATATACACCTTTAATGTGTGTCTTCACTACCCCCAGCTGCTCCAGACAGTCACTGTTCATCATGGGCAAATTTGATCATATCCCTGAGTTAACCAATGCCTCCACCTTCTTTGCCTGGAAGATGCAGGTGCTTCTGGCCTTAGATTGTGAGGGCGCATATAGTCATGTCAGCGATGGCACAGACCTGCTGGACCCTATTGAGTTTGCATCAGTAAAGCCAAAACCTGCAAATCCTGCCAAGCTCACAGATGATGAGCAGAAGGCGATAGTTGATTGGTCTAAGGCAGATGCTGTGGCAAAGGATGTTTTATGTCAGTGTTTATCGCCAGCTGTTCTTTGTCTCATTCCCCAAGAGAGGTCTACCACTGCTCGGGATGTTTGGGTCACTCTCCATGATAATTTCGACCATGTTGACATTGGCTCACAGCACCTTGTACAAGCAAGGATCTTGCACATGCGTATGAAGGATGCCAGTGACGTGGCTTGTTACTTGTCAGAGCATTCTGCTGCTTGGCATGACCTCATTCGCATGGGGGCGTCCTACTTGGATGAGGAGGCTATCTTCCATCTCATTGAAGGTCTTCTGGAGACTGGCACCTGGCCATCTTTCTGCCTCTTCCTACAAAGCTCCTGTGCTGTTGCAGCTGCTGCCTCTACAGGCACCTCTGTTTCCTCCATGTCCAAGACTTCTGCCTCTACAACCCATTCCTCCATTTCTATGGTGCTATCCATGAGCTCAGTGACTTTTGAGAGTGTTTCGGTCAAGATTGCAGCTGAGGCTCACCATTTGGTCCAACAACTCTCCTTTTTGTCTGTGGGGTCTGAATACACTAATACTGCAACCTCACCTGTTGGCCCACCCAATGTAAACCCAGTGACAGGCCTCTGGAAGACATGCAACAATCTGTCAGGCACCTACTGTGATACTCCTGTTGGCGAGGGCCTCGTTTGTGGTGCTAGCAATCATGATAAGGCACACTGCTTCAAGCCTGGGGGCGGCATGGCTGGTCAATGACCCTCCTGGCGGAAGGGTAAGGGCGACAAGGAAAAGGACAAACTTACTTGGGCCGTGGCGACCACTGCATCCACACCCACTGCACCTGCTCCTCCTGCTCCTACATTAACTCCAGTGGCTGCAGCAGCACTTGACTCTTCTGCAGCCTCTCCTTGGACCACACACTCTGGGGATCTTACTTGCATGGTTATTACTGAGCTTGACAAAGGTGGGGATGCACCTATGCCATCACCAGCCTTAAAGGCATGCCTTGGCACTCTCTCAGCTTCTAGTCTTTTGGACTCGGGCACTTCCTGCATGCTGGTCAGCAATTGCACCTTTTTTCGAACCTATATGCTGGACATGTCTGTGAATATTCAGACAGCCAATCATGGACACTTACCTACTACTGGACATGGTGAATGTCTAGCCTTCCTATCCATTGGCAGTGATAAGTATCAGGTATGACTCACCAATTGTTTGCATGTGCTGCAGGCTGCACTGCACCTCATCTTGGTTGGGT